TCATGTTTTCAAAACTATTAAAAAATGTACCGTAGTATGTAATAAGCAGGCATAACTGATAAAAATGGAAATAATCATATAAAAAAACTACATGCAAAAAGCAGCAATAATGATTAGTCTCTCTTACTTGCAATTTAACCACCAAAAATCATGACTGCTGACCCATATTCCATCCCCACCGTTGCCCCCAAATAATACACTGGACACCTTTTAGTGGATAAGGGCAACGGCCACAGCTTTATTAAACAGTAAACTTAATTGTTAATTCCTGCCAGCTGTTGGGTGAGGACCCAACAGGCAGTTCTCCTCCTTTGTTGTCCATGAGCCCAACACAGCCGTCGCTAGCCATCAGCCTTGCGCCGACTGTCGTCTCCCCAATGTGACCTTGCGTCATAGTCCTTTCCTTTTCGATTCCGCTGTCCAGGGAAAACCGCCAGCTGTGACAATGAGAAAAACAACACGAAAACCACCAACACCACAAACAAACAAAACCAGGGAGGGAGGGTGGGAAATTCAACCAGGGTAATGACAATCTCCTTCTGACTGGTAAGTCTCCTCCCCTGCTACCCCTTTATAAATCCTTCCATCTTTGCAACATTGTTGCTACCATTGTACCATCCCACTATCCTGGGCAGCAGTCATGCTCCCCCTTCCCTATTCTGTCCAGGGGGACACTTGACTGCTGACCCATATTCCATCCCCACCGTTGCCCCCAAATAATACACTGGACACCTTTTAGTGGATAAGGGCAACGGCCACAGCTTTATTAAACAGTAAACTTAATTGTTAATTCCTGCCAGCTGTTGGGTGAGGACCCAACAGGCAGTTCACCTCCTTTGTTGTCCATGAGCCCAACACAGCCGTCGCTAGCCATCAGCCTTGCGCCGACTGTCGTCTCCCCAATGTGACCTTGCGTCATAGTCCTTTCCTTTTCGATTCCGCTGTCCAGGGAAAACCGCCACCGCGAAGCCGACCTGGCGCAGCCTGACCTGCGCCGGCTTCGCCCCCCCCGCAGACAGCGCCATCTCAATGCCCGACTGCAGCCCCACATTAAAAATGTCCAGCCCAATGGGATTCAAATGAACCCCATCCGGACGCATCACATCTGAATTATTACCCTCCAACTCAAAGTGCCTTACCACTATTCCGCCCAAACTACGCACAAAGCGCGAAATAGCAACATTAATCTTGCGCCTACAACGTTCAAACGCCTTCCCATAACCACCCACTTGCCACACTGGACGGGGCACTATCTCTGACCAAATCAACGTCAAGTCACGAAAAAGCGCAAAACAGTGCGCTAGATCATGACGCATGTCTCGAATGAGATCCACCGACCGCCGTCGGCCAACATCATTCCCGCCTGCGTGTAATATCAGCGTCACGGAGCCGGTGACGCAGCGACTCAGCTGCTCGCACTCGCCGTACACTTGATCCCAACGTAACCCCCTCAATCCCCGCCAACGTACCCTAACGTCCTGAAACGGGAACCCCAAATTCCGGCCATGAGATCTTGCTTCCGCCCTCCTAGCTGCCCAGTAAATATAAGAATGCCCCAGAATCCAGACATAACGAGGAACTTGGCCTACAAAACAAGGAATAACGGTTAGACTTAATTGTTTACAGAGGCATACCATCACAGCAAATGAGGGCGCACGTAAAGCTGAAATCGCCCCGACTCCCAGCGCCCCAGGCGCATAAGCGCCTCCTTCGGAAAACCCAGTTCGCTTGCCTGTGTTGCCGCTCCAATTCTAAATGAATGCGTGGAGTATAACCTGGGGTCCCCCCCAATCTAACAATACAACTCCGCAAGAGGCTCGCAAATTGAAAACGGCTCAGGGAGGCCCCATTAGAATGGACCAGCAGCGAGCCTTCAGCGCCGCCCCTGGCACCCAAGTATGCCCGCAACAAGAACCCCGGACAAAATACACCCCCAGTGAGCCCTATACGGACTCTCGCTCCCGTACCCGCTTGATCCGTCTTGGACTGACGAATCAACAGCGTAACGCACTCTGGTGTCACTGATACGTCGGAAAGCCTAAGGGGGGACACTGAACTCACCCTGGGGGCAACCAGCTCACCGATACGCAGCGCCCCAAAGAAGCACAAGGAGAATGCCACCCGAAACAAAAGTACCTCATACGCAGAGCTACACACATCTGGAAGAACTTCCAACAGCTGGAACAGCATGTCCCCCGAGATCGGTCGCCGTGCATCAGGAACGCGGCGCTTTTTCCACCCTTTCAAAATACGGGAAACGCAGAACGCCTTGGTGACATCCGACCATCCTAAAAAACGAAATAAAAAAGAGAGAGCAGCCAGCGATTGCTCAGCTGCTGCAGACGACCTACCTCCGGCACACAAAGACTCCAGGAACGACAGCGTAAGGGTCAATCTGCCGGAGTCCGACGCCACATCCCCGTTCCTACCCATGGCCCACCAGCAATCCCATACCGTGGAGTATGCCTTCCACGATGACTCCGATAAGGACCCTCGGATCAATCGCCTCAGATGTCCAAAACCAGGTCCCACAAGTAAGGCGGACACGGGGTTCCCGTTGGCGCCGCCTCCCGAAAACGGTCCCACTGAAACCGAGAAAGAGAGTCAGCAATGACATTGTCCACCCCAGGAACATGCCTGGCTACCAACCACAAATTACATTGAAGACAGAGTAGCACTAGCCGCCTGAGCAATGCCAAAACCGGAGGGGACCCAGACGTGGAACGATTGATCACCTGGACCACACTCATGTTGTCCGTGTGAACAATCACCTTCCTGTGCGCCAAGCCCGAACCCCATAATTCTACAGCAACCACAATGGGAAACAATTCAAGAAACGCCAGGTTACCCATCAGCTCCGAACCTCGCCAGGTGGACGGCCACTCCGCCGCACACCACTGTCCCCGAAAATAGGCTCCAAACCCTATGGACCCCGATGCGTCAGTAAACAGGTCCAATTCACCGTTCGACACCTGCGAGCGCATCCAACAAGAATGACCATTGTACGTACCTAAAAAGGCGCTCCACACTTGTAAGTCCGACCGCAGTCGCCTTGTAATCCGGATAAAGTGAAATGGCTGTTTAACCCCCACCGTAGCCAGGGACAAGCGACGACAGAACGCTCGGCCCATAGATAAAACACGGCAAGCAAAGTTCAGATGACCCAAAAGCGATTGCATTAGCCGCAGCTGAACCTTGTTGGAGCCCCTGACTCGGTCAATAAGGCATAGTAACTGACCCAGCTTTTCCTCTGGTAATCGAAAGACCATCTCACAAGAGTCAATCTCGATCCCCAAGTAAGACAACTTACCCACCGGTCCGAACGTCTTGTCTATCGCCACCGGGACTCCAAAGTCTGAGGTAATCTGCCGAAATGCCGACAACAAAACCGCACAATCGTTGCAATCACCAGACCCGACAAACAAAAAATCATCCAGGTAGTGGGTCAACGAGGACAAACCCGACACCTGAGACACGACCCATTCCAAGAATGTCGCAAACATCTCGAAATAGGAGCATGATATGGCACACCCCATGGGCAAACACATATCATAATAAAACAAACCATTAAATTGACAACCCAGAAGATGGAAACAGTCCGGGTGAACCGGAAGCAAACGAAAAGCCGATTCGATGTCCGATTTAGCAAGCAATGCCCCCGACCCTGCGCCTCTCACTAACTCCAGGGCCCTGTCAAAGGAAGCATAATGCACCCTGGACACTTCTTTATCAATATCATCATTCACCGACCCGCCTGCTGGGTAGGACAGGTGGTGAATGAGACGGAAGACCCCAGGCTCTTTCTTAGGGACCAAGCCCAGGGGTGACACTCGCAGGTTAGGAAATGGGGGCTCAGAAAACGGTCCCGCCATGCGGCCCAAGGACACTTCCTTGCACAATTTTGTTTCAAGAATATCCTCCCTACCCAAAACCGAACGTAAATTGACCGCAAACGACTGCGCCTCAGAAAAAACAAACGGAATCCAAAACCCAAATAAAAACCCGTCCAATAAAACACCGGCTTCACGCCGTTTAGGATACCGGTCTAGCCACGGGCGCATCCTTTCGACGCTCACCGGCGTCCTCCTGTCTAGGAACGTCGTCCTTGGGGCGCACCCCCGCCTTTCCTTTCTTGAAACAGCGTACGGCGGGATGTGCTCCGCCACAGTGCGAACACTCATGCCGGAACCTGCATGAGTTGTACCACTTACAGTGGGACTCATTAAAGAGCCAACAGACTCCCCTGCGCTGCCCTGCCGGCGCACTAGCCAGCGCGCCGGCTGTCCCTGGAAAGGGGGAGGGCTGGCAAGGCGTCATCAACAGCAGCCATAAGCTGCCATCCTGTACACCAAAATCCATGCCCTCGCCAACCGCCATCTTCTGCCGAAACTGCTGGTCGTATCGGAACCAGCATTGCCCGCCATAAACCTTGTACGCCCCCCAAATGAGATCCAAATAACAGAACAAGGAGGGAGCCTTATCCGGGAAAGTACCCGTTAAGATGCTTGCAAAAATTGAAAAACCCTGCAACCAATTTCCAAAAGTGCGAGGAAGCTGCTTACCTTTTTCCCCGTCAACCATCTCCCCTCGCCGCGGTCTATCCACCGACTCCCTGTCCGGCGGAACCAGCGCCAGGAAGTCGACGTACTCACCTCGGACTATTTTGTCTCTGACGTCTGCTGCGACATGCAAGCCCAATGGGGACAACTCACAGCCCGGCAACCGCGGACGCAAAATGCCCGTAACCCTGTCCCTGACAGGAATCTGCGCCGCAGACCACATATCCATCCGCGTAGAAGGGGGGACATCGCTAGGTAACCGCTCCAAAACAGACCTCAATAAACTAGCTAAATCCCCAGTGCTACCCAACCCCCCTCCACCTTGCCTAAGTAAATCAACTCTGCTTAAATCCCTCTTTTTACCTAATTCCCCTACCACCTGTGGACTCTGCCCCCTATCATCCCCAGCCAGCGCATCCCAAGCGCTAGCGCAGTACTCACGTGCTGATGCTGCAAGAGGCAGACCGGACCCACTGGGGAACACTGCTTCTGCATCTCCATCCTCAGATCCGGAATGAGAGCTGCTGCCATCCGCTTCCCGCTGCTGGGACCCGCAGGCGCCGGATGCGCACGTTTGCGGTCCTTTCTGCACTGTGCCACGGTGCTCCTGCACCGCAGAGGAACTTCCGGCTCCAGCCCGGGTCGGCCGCGCGCATGCGCGCCGCGGCGTCATGACGTCCGACGTTGCACGCACGCCGGCTTGCGTGCGTGATGACGTCCCACTCACCCGCGCCGGAAGAGAAGCGCGCGGGCTGCGCGACCTTCCGGCCGGGTTCCCGCCATCCTGATCGTCGCCATCTTGGGGCCCGGACTCCACAACCACCTGTCCGGCCCTTCTCCGCCTCCGACTGGCCAATCTTCGCGCTGGGAAGCGCCCGGCCTCACCGCTGCCTCCCTCAACGCGTGGAACACTCCGACCTCTGCTCCTCCTCACTGGACTCGGGGATAAACGCGACGGAGGCCTTGACCTCCTGGCCCTCCGCCCGCTGAGCGATGAATCATCACCCTCACGCCGATCTGGTCGTCCTCCTGCAGCCTGCTGAACTTGAGACAGCACCTGGTCCAAAGATCCATGGGACTCCTGGTAAGCAGCCAACAGTTTCACCAATTCTTCCAGAGATGGGGTGGCCATATTGAAGCCTAGTCCTCTATCAGAGAATTAACAGGAGATTGCCGTTTATTTTTATTTATTTTTTTTGCAGGCCCAGGTAATCACAGAAAAGAAATGTCAGAAGATATACAGACAGTGAAAGAAATTCAACCAGGGTAATGACAATCTCCTTCTGACTGGTAAGTCTCCTCCCCTGCTACCCCTTTTTAAATCCTTCCATCTTTGCAACATTGTTGCTACCATTGTACCATCCCACTATCCTGGGCAGCAGTCATGCTCCCCCTCCCTATTCTGTCCGGGGGGACACTTTATCGCCAATATATTTACACGAGCGTGCAAATGAAGCTTGGAAGACAGCCAGAAATATATTTTTAAAATAACGCGTTTCTGCGTGGAATGTCACAAATTGTACACCACTGTACAGACGAAAGCTTATTTTCTCAATCCCTATAAAAATTCGGATCTGGATACTAGGATAGTTTACGGAAATGAAAGGCGATAAATTTGGAAAATATACTGTGCTGTATTGTGTATACTGATTCCAAAAGGCTGGAAGTGACCAAAATGGCAGAAGAAAAAATGCAAAACTTGTCTAGTATTGAGTAAAAGGAATATAGTTATTCTAATTGTTTAGATTCCTGATGTACGTAACAAGAACAATGATAGACAAGGACACTATTCAATGAAGGGCCTGCATTCGGAACTCAAAATTATCTGGTTCTTCGATACAATCTGACAACTTGAACAAGTCTGCCATTGTCCAAATTCTTTAAAGAGGCACGTCAAAAAACAAACCCACTACAGCCTATTGTAACGACTACAGTACAAGATTTACAAACGCAGTCCTCCAGTTTTTGTCAAAGCATTTTCAAGCAGTTTGCGAACGTGTCTCACGAGCACTGGAATTCCCTCCCCATTCACAATGTCAAATTTCTGAAGGGAGACTTTGTCAATTTAGGCGCCAAAGGGGTTAACGGTGATTCATTACACCCTGGTGAGGCAATCTATACAAATATTTAGGCTTTGTAATAAGAAAGTGTAGTTTCCAAATGACACCGTTGATGGGGGGAGGGTTTTTTAGTGCTAGTGAGACCCATGTGTTTTTTTTGGTCAAATCTCTACAATATAGTTTAACTAAACAATAGGGGGAGGTGGGGTTAACTCATTCTTGCACCATATCCACTGTAATAATCTGTAATAATACAATGATATGAAATAATAAATTGAGCTGTAATTATACAATTAGCTGCAATAATGCAATGATGTGTAATAATATGATTAGCAGTAATAATACACTGAGCTGTTATAATACAATAAGCTGTAATAACATAATGAGCTGTAATACAGATGCTCCTCACTTACCGACCGGGTTCCGTTCTTACGACCTGGTCATAAAACAAATTGGTTGGTAAGTGAGGCGCATGCACACCAGCCCCGAACATCGATTAGAGGGATTCCCTGCTCTGGTGCGTATGTCTACATTCTGGGAAATTACCCCAAACATAGACAAGCGCAGCAGAGCAGGGAATCCCTCAAATCTATGTTCGGGTGAACGCTCCCTGAACATAGATTAGACGAATTCCCTGCTCTGGTGCGTTTTTCTATGTTCAGGGAAATTTCCCCGAACATAGATTAGAGGGATTCCCTGCTCTGCTGTGCTTGGAAATTTCCCCGAACGTAGACATACGCACCAGAGCAGGGAATCTCTCTAATCTATGTTCGGGGAAAATTTCCAGAACATAGATCAGCTTTCTAATGTGGGAAATCCCTTGAATCCCCACGCTAGAGAGTTAGTCATAAGTGCGAGCCATCGTAAAGTGAGGACCACCTGTAATGCAATGAGCTGTAATAATACAATAAACTGTAATAATATAATGAGCTGCAGCAGTACGATGAGTTGCTGGACACAACAAGCTGTAAAAATACAATGAATTAAAATAATACAATAAGCTGTAATAATACAATAAGGTACAATAATACACGAGTCTTTAAAGACACAATGAGTTATAACAATTCAATAAGCTGTACTAATGCAATAAGCTGCACTAATGCAATAAAATTAAGTGATACAATACATTGTGATGATACATGAAATTATAATCCTACAACAAACTGAAATTATACAATTAGCTGTAATAATAGACATTATACAATTAGCTGTAATAATACATTATGCTGCAGCAGTTATGGGAGACCCCTGTTTTTTGGCAAAATATTTTAAAATGGTTTGACAAAAACAGATGGATTTTAGAGCTTTCATGTCTGATAACCTCTACAAAATGTAGTGGTTGTGGTCCTTAGAATGTTTCATTCTATTTTAAGAAGAAAGCATAGTTAAAATAAAGAAAAGGATTATCATATTTAGGTCATAATAATACTGGTATAATATTGTACTTTGTGTCACATGAGCAGAATCATAGCTATCCTTATTCAAATACAACAATAGATATATATAAACATTTCAGTGAATTAACTAAGTCATGTTTGTTTAGTCTTTTACTAATTATTAAAAAAAGTGGCTGGAGGAAATCCAATCAGCCTCATCTGTGAAATAGACAAATAACATATACAAAGAATCCTTTGTGATGCCGCACTCACAGGGAATTGATCCTGATTACCAATAAACAGAAAGCAGACTAAATTGCAATCAATATCTCATTGTGCAATAAAGACACAAGATAATGTAAACGTGACATCCCCTTGGGTGCAGAGGCCTCCTCTGTTAGTGTGTTATATAGATCCATGGATGGATGGATGGAAGGAGGGACAGAGGGATGGAGGGATGGGAGGGACAGAGGGATGGAGAGACGGAGGGATGGACAAATGAATGATGGATGGATGGTGGATGGATAGATGGAAGGAGAGACGGAGGGATGAAGGAACGGACAAATGGATGATGGAGGATGATGGATGTATGAATGAATGGATGGATGATGATGATGGTTGGATGGATGGGTGGATGGATAATGGAAAGATAGATAGATAGATAGATGATGGACGGATGGTTGGATACAAATATTTTGCTAAGTTAAACCATGATTACTCATATTCACACAAACGTGCACTGAATCATGCTCATTGAATATATATAAATCATGCAGACATGGTATAGATGCTTATTTGCTGTTTAACTAATTATTATTACTATTGGGAGTCTCATGATTTGAGTAGTTTTGTTTGTTTGTTGCCAAACGCGATGGTCCCATTATCTCAGACACAGATATCTTCTAAAATGCTTACGTACTATAGTTTACTAAGACTGGAACGGCAAACATCCACCGAGCATCAGTACAGTAATGTATACAGGCTGCTACTGCCAATCAGAGAAGAACTGAAATTTTTTTCAAGCGAACACAAAGTGTACATATATAGAAATAACCACTCTTGTGTGCATTTCATGGCAAAAAACTAAATAATGCAAAATTGAAAAAATGGTCCCTGGTTGCGTTATTCATTACGTTGGATGTAAAGACCTTTTGGGACATTGAAGTCATTGGAGTAATTTTAAATGCATTTATATTATGTATTTATTATTTTACATTATCCTAGTTCTCTTGCCTTTTTTTTTTTTTTTTAATCTAGTGCAACTTTTACTGTGTAACATAAGGCATCTTTGTTGGTAATACACCACTGAAGTGTAAATACATACATGGCAATTAAAAAAAAAGTGAAATTAGTTTTTCTAAGACATGTTATACCCTAAAAAATTAATTAGGATCTAGATGACGTTTATCCTTAAAATCCCAAAATATATATACATTACATTAGTTAGTATCGCAATGACACACGTGTCCTGTTGGCCAGAAGGCAGTGAAACAAGAACATAGCTGTAAAATTTGACCTGTTTCGGAACATAGAATTCTCTGATTAAACCATAGAGTGGGCAATCCAACTTTCCATTAGCGAAACATAAAAAGGTTTAATCTGATTCCCTGATCTCCTTTTTTGTAGGAAGAATTTTAGTTAAGCAGAATAATTTGCATTATTCTCCACAGTTTTTGAGAAATACCGTTTTGTGAATGTCTCACCCACGCTGTACTTCCCATAGATACCCAGGATGAAGGGGCAATACTCACATATCCACTCTTTTTAGGATGAATCTAAGGGACTAATTATCTCCAGTTCTAACTGAAAGGTCAAGAAGAAACATTTGATGTTTTTATTTAATTGATCGTTACTGCAGGTTCATTAACCAGAACTCGTGGAGACTAGTAATGAGAAGTAAGAGTCCTGGCTGTTTTTACAATTAATTAAGAACAAAAAGACAGAAGTAAAATCACAGACAAATCATTTAACCCACAAAGCAGACATAAAATTGGTTTCTATACTGGCAGAATTCTCCAGAATAACACTTTTAAAAAACACAAAAATGTTCATGTTCTTTCACCAGCAACAGCACGGCTATTACCTTAATGGGGTACCCAACCCCATAGAATGTTCTTTGCCTTGCTAGTACCATAAACTGGGTACCCCATCACAATGCATTTAACTTACTAGTACCAAAAATTGTATACCACATCACCAGGGCCGGTGTAAGGATTTTTGCCGGCAAAGGCAAAAAATAATTTGCCGCCCCATTCGCTCCACAGTGGTCCTGTAGGTTTAACCCCACAAGATAAAACATTGCTTTACTTCGAAGGGTTAACCAAGTCACAGTGACAGCCACTAGAGCCACCTTCGCTACAATGTCATGTTTACATATACACACACACACAGACTCACACTCATCCGCTCGCTCACTCACTCACTCACACTCAATGGTCCACACAATCACAATCAGTGACCAATGCATACAAATTCACTGATTCACGCAGAGTGACACACATACACACACACCCTGACTCAAGCAGACATACACTGACTTATGAAGACTAACATACACACTCACACACGCTGGCCCAAGCATACACACACACACACTGACCCATGCAAACACACACACAGACACACATTGACACATGTAGACACGCACACACAGTGACTGAAGCAGACACACACACTGACCCAAGCAGACACACACA